ACAATGGACTCCCCCTGCGTCCGCACGCAGGTGGAGGTCCGGCCCTCGTTAACTAGGACCAGACCGTGCGTCGCCGCCCACACATCCAGGGCCCTACCCCTCTCGTTGTCGTGCCGGGAACCCCAACTCGTGTGCCACGCGTTGAAGTCCCCGGCCACGAGGACCGGCCTTGGACTCAGACGTAGGACCGTCTGCCCTATGTCCAATAGCCAGTCCCTGAACGGGGCAGAGCGTCTGGTGGGCTTTAAGTAAACCCCCACGACCGCGATGGGCCCCCACTGCACAGCCACGTGCCTATCTCCCCTCTCGATGGGGGTCGTGTCGGGCCCTCCCGGCACCGACCGCCATCGGTTCGCGACCGAGTCCCCCGCCCACCCGGAAGATACAGCCCAATATGGGCTTTTCCAGGGGGGGCGGTGGGGCTCGGCCACGATCGCCAACGTGAACCCCCCCTCCACCATGCTTTGCTGGAGAAGATCCTGCGCATGGGGAGAGTGGTTCACGTTGGCCTGTATGAGGCCGTAACCACCTACACTCGGACAGGAGGGACGAGGCATTGTTAGGCCTTATCCCCCCCGTCCGATGGGGCCTCTATCTCCATGGCCTCTTCTTTGGAGGCCTGCTCCTTTCGCGCCATTTCGCGCGGCTGGCGCTGCGACTTGGGTAACTCGCCCGCCTCGCTGCCCAGCCCCCCTTTCTCCCCTTCTACCGGCTGAGCTTCGGCCGGGGGGGCCCCGGTATCCGGCGCCTTCTCTTGGGCGCACCGCACCGGCGGGCGTCCGCGCACGTTGCGCTGGACGCAGGATTTCGCGCCCAGCTCGTGCGCCGCCGGCCTGCCCTTGTCCGCACAAAGCGGACATTTGGGGGCAGACCGGCAGTCGCGGGAGGTGTGACCGGTTTCACCGCACCGGTAACACCTCCCGCTTCTATCCTCTTCACTGGGGCACATCGCCCTCGTGTGGCCCCTCTCGAGGCACCTGTGGCAACGCATGGGCCGTGCCTCGAGGAGGGCCACTCTGGCCATCACCCAGCCAGCCCTGATTCTCCCCTGCTGGGAGATCTCTTTCGCCGCGGTGAGGGGTAGGCGGGCCCAGAGGCCAAACGTGCCTCCGGCGGCCGGTTGCAGCGCTCCGCATTGGACATCGGAGACGCTACACCGCGCCGCATCGGCCACCCACCCCCTCACCTCCTCGACTCCCAGAGAATCGTCGAGATCCCGCAAGCGGACCTCGGCCATCTTTCGCGGTCGGTCAATCCGCGTTCCCTCCTCCTCGGGGAGGACCTGCCTAATCCGCTCCGCGAGCAGATCAGCTTTGTCGGCGTGACCCTCCCCAGAGACCTCGATGACCCTGCCTTATAGATCCTTGCGCATCTTTTTCTAAAAAGAAACAATTAAATAACGTTAAAAAATAATATAACAGTTAAACAACTAAATGTGAGAAAGATTATATACCAAATACTGACCTTTGTTTGGGATTATTTCTTTTTCGTTAATAATGATCGTCTCTGTACAATTTTGCATACTATTGCATATTGTAGCATTATTTTCGTATCGTTGCTTTTGTGGTGCAGAATAACTCTTATCTATTTAAAACAAAAGAAAAATATTTGTTAAAAAATGTTATATGTAAATTGATGGTACAAATTGTATAAATAATCTATAACAATTTATAAAAAGTATTTTTTCTAATTACCTTTTTTATTTTAACATGTATGGGCGGATTATTATCAACTGAAATACAAAAAAATATTAAAAACAAATACATAAAATATAAAATTAATACTCTTGTTACATACTCTGTTTTATAACAGGAGACTGCTTTTCTTCCATATTAAAAGTTTTGGTTTTTTAAGTTGTTTCGATGAATATTTCTTTGAATATTTTTCTTTCGGAATATTATCTATGTTAACACAATATGTTTTAATTAATTTGTAAACAATAAAAATATTCATAGCAAATAACTTTTACCTTGAAAACATTCGTCGGTCTGTGATAAATAATCACCGTATTCCAACGGTTGTGATTCGTTTATACCAAAGGGTGATGAACATTGGTTTTGTTCAAATTGTGTATGTGTATCTAGAAAAAGATTATAAAAACATTTATATTACTAAAATTATATTG